ACAGACAGACAGACAGACAGGTAGATAGATAGATAGATAGATAGATAGATAGATAGATAGATAGATAGATAGATTATACATTTTAAGCTCATTTTAAGTAATTTTTGCCGTTCACTATAGTTTGCAGACCTCTTACTTTCTTTTGGGCCGATCATCACATCGCCATGAGCCTCCCAGAAGGTTCCCGTGGGATTGCGGTTGTACTCCTTGTTCTGAGCGTTCACATGTTTTCTCAGCAGTTTCGGAACAGCGACTTTGTTAGTGATTGTGACGTTGAAAGAAATGTTTTCGCCAACTACAGGGGCTTTCAGAAGCTGGAGAGAAACTGCACAGCCCTGAGGTGCTGCATGAAAGGACATGTTAAATGAAATGTTTGATCACTGCATTCAGTCATATAGTACTCAAACACACAAAGAAATGGAAAACCAAATGCTAGAACTTACCCACTCTTCCTGTAGCACCTTCACCTCTGCGAGCTGAAAGAGAGTATTTTTTTTAAATGCAGATAAAAAAACAACAATATTTAAATCTAAAAAAAATAATAATTAATATTTACATAAAAATATTATCAAAATCATATATGTAGGTGCAAAGGTTTTTTTATTCCTCTCTGTTTTGTCTTGTCACTCTTCCTTCTCAGTTTGCTTCAATTATTGTTGTATATATGTGTATATATATATATATATACGTACACACACACACACACACACACACATACATATATTTTCATTCATTTATTATTATTGTTATTACTGTTTTTCAGATTCTGATACTAGTCAGATCGATTACACATGTCAGCTTTTCAAAAATGAAAAGCTAAGGTGACTTACCATCAGTGCTCAGTGCACGAACTGTGCTGTCATCTAAATGTGAAAGAAGGAGATTTTTGTATAAAACTAGCAGTAATTTAACGGTAAGTATTTTGTATTTTTGGAACAAAGTCCACAACTAAACTGGCCCACCAGACCAGTACTAACCAGCATAAACCAGCCTATAAGAAACTGGTCTTTTCAGCAGGAATAAAAAAACACATGAGTTTTCCATATGCATAAGCCTTGTAAAAATAGCTGTAATGACCGACCTGCGCTCTTCTCTTGTGGCGTGGGGTCGAGAACCTGCCATCCGTCATAACCTCGACCCAGATCAGGCCTCTTCATCCAACTCTCCACCCACATATGGAAGTTCCTGAAAAAAGGCCAAACACTTTTAGCTCACATTCTGACAGATTAAAAATCCTGAAACAATGAATTGTTCCTTTTTAATGCAATCAGATCATGATTATTTGTATACTGTAGCCTAATGATGGTGCAGACGTGTTTACCGAAGCATAAGAAAAAACAATAAAGTACTAAAGATTAAAAAATCAGAAGGAAAGAATAGTTTTATTCTGCTTCTGCATTAAATTGATCAAAAGGCATTTATAGTGTTACAAAATATTTCCATTTCCAAAAAAAATGCTGTTCTTTTTAACTTTCTATTCATCGAAGAATCCTGAAAAATAAAACATATCACAGTTTCCACAAAAATATGAACATTGATAATAATCAGAAATGTGTCTTGAGCAGCAAATCAGCATATTAGAATGGAATAAATTACATTTTAACATATATTCACCTAGAAAACAGTTACAGTGGGTACGGAAAGTATTCAGACCCCCTTCAATTTTTCACTCTTTGTTATATTGCAGCCATTTGCTAAAATC